AGTGTACCCACTAATCAATCAGCATTGAGGGGGAGGGGATATTTGTTTCTAGTTTGCCTCTTCCATCCATGTGTGTTACTGCAGCAGCCTCTGGGCCTGGCTGGTTCACTGAAGCAGGCTTCAATACTGACTACATATAAGAAATTCTCAATACAAAGAGGGACTCGCATTCCTGATGTAAAGTCAAAACAGATAAATGCCTTGTATAGAGGTATGGTTGGCTTTGTACCAAAACTCCCTGAGTGGCTAAATTATTCACCAGCTCACTAAAGCACAGAAACTGACAAACAGATCCCTGCAATTCCTGGCATAACAGAAAAATGAACCTAACAAGTTCAGGGACCTGCTTTGACTGACTCCGAGAGTACTGTGCCTGCTGTGTACAAACTCCTCAGAGAAGCCAGCAGAAGCCTTCAAACAGAAAATTACTCCCTTGGACCTTCACTCACTTGTGGTCAGAGAAGCATTCACGTAAGTAGCAGCTAGGAATCAATTTATACCCAATTTTTAAAAATCAGTTTTGTTACAGCAAACCTGCAAGTGAGTATCCTGTATCAGCAGCTGTTTGCAAACAGCTGGGTTAATTGGAACCGACTTGTGAGTTTTTTTAATTTTTTTATCACTAATTTAAGTAAATTGTCTGAAAGTAAGCTTAAGATATGGCAGGACACCTTGACTGCATGGAATGCCTATCCTGTGCCATTGGTGGAGTTGTGGAAGCTTCCTGTGGTCTAGACAATCACATGAACTGATTCCAGCTTTTAAGAAGTTGAGCTCTAGGTTTTTGAACTCAAGTAGAGGGTAGAATTACCATGGTGCATCTATAAAGCATCTATGTAAATAGTGCATTTAACAAAACAATCACATTGCACATTAACAGCATGCAGGCAGAGGGGGAAGAGTTAACTGCTCAGCAATCTAAGACAACCAGGGACGTCGTGTTGGACTCCTATGAATCTATCTCTCACTAATTGGTTTTCACCCTGGATACTGGTGAGGGTGATGGCACATCAGAGGAATGTAGTAAGAGCTAAGCTTGTAACACCAGAAGTGGTTCAGCTTTGATGGAGCCAAAGAGGACTGGAAAGGCAACAGGAATAGGTGATTTGACAGAGGTGTTTCTGTAGCTGTAGATGTGACTCCAGGATTGTATGTTGCCTTCATGGTGCCAGAATCAAGAAGATGAGAGAGTGGTTGCAGGATATTATTTTAGGGACAGTGAAGAGCCAGAGGCTGTGGGTCATAGAGCCATACAGCATAGAAGCAGACCCTTTGGTCCAATTAGTCCACGCCAACCATGTTACCAAACTAGTCGCATCTGACTGCATTTGGTCCATATCCCTCTAAACCTTCCTTCAAATCATTTGTATGTATTTCAAACAACAGGATTCTCAGCATTGATCTTTGCAAATACCACTGGTCACAGATCTCCAGTCAGAAAAACATCCTTCCACCACTATTCTGTTTTTCACAACTAAGCCTGTTCTGTATCCATCTCACCAGTCCACTGGTGAGCCAATGTGACTTCAAGTCCCCCATAATCAATGTAGTAATACCTTTCTTACATGCCTTTTCTATCTTCTGATTTATTTTCATCCCTACATGCACATTGTAAAAGAAACAACAAGGGCATAGACTTCGAGTGATGTGCAAAAAAACAACTTTTTCACACAGCAAGTTGTTAAAGTATGGAATGCATAGCCTGGAAATGTGCTGGGAGTAGGCTTAATTGAGGAATTCAAGAGGATATTGGATTTTTTTTTGGATAGAAATGGCGTGTAGGAATATAGGGAGCAGGCAGGAGACTGGCATTAGATAACACAGTCCGACTAGATAATACAGCCAGTACAGGCACGATGGACCAAATGACCTCCTTCTGCACCACAACAGTTTTGTGATTTTATCATCTTTACCTGGTCTGACCCACATGTGACTCTAGCCCCAAAAACCTAGAGCCCAATGTGGTTGGCTCTCAACTGCCCTCTGAAATAGCCTAGCATGCCACTCAATTTGAACGCAATTAGGGATGGGCAACATATGCTGGCCCAGACAGCGATGCCTACATCCCATTAATAAATTAAAAACATGATGATTAAATTCCCCTTTAATTGCTACATTGCCTTTATTAAGAGCTCTAATAATTTCTTATTTAATGCACTGTCCAACGCATAACTACAGTTGCAGAAAAATAATACTCTCACCAGTATTTTCTGTGCCTTGCTATTCTTAATCCCCATTCATACTAATTCTACTTCCTGATTTTCTGAGCCAATATAATTTTCCACTAATCTCCTTATATCATCCTTTATTGTTAGGTCTACATAACCTCTTTTTCCATTCTGAAAGTCTTTTTGAAATGTTGTGCACGCTGGAATATTTGTTTCCATCTTTGATCACTTTGTTATATCTATGTGATGGCAATTAGATCTAAACCAAATTGCTCTCTTTTTGCTATATGTTCGTCTGTCTTATTGAAGACTCTGCATATTCAGATAAAGCAACATGAATTTTATTTTCTACAACTATTCTCTGCATGGCTTAGAATCTCTAAGGCACTATTGCCATCAAACTCTCTGCTGCTTCTGGTCCCATCCACACGTACTTACCCACATTGATAGGTATTACTATTAGCGCAACTTTTCTATTTGGATTTCTACATTTCTCTTCACCTGAATCCTTCCCTATCTCTGTGGTTTAAAACAATTTTCCCCTATCCTGGTCATAGTAATCAATGCACTACACTTGTCATGAATTTTGTCTTTAACTTGCATTTTGGAAGAAGAAACATGGAGAAACAATGCAGGCTCAAATGCACATCTTTCAGGGGAGTACAGAAGCAGAAGAACCTTGGGGTTCAACCGCATAATTCTCTGAAGATGGTCAGGCAAGTTGAAACAATTAAGATTTATAGGATCCTTGAGTTTATAAATAGAGGCACGGAGTATAAAGCAGGGAAGGGATTCTACATTTCTACAAATCATTGGTCAGACCACATTTGGAGTATTATGTTCAGTTCTAAGCACTTTATTTACAGAATGATTGGGGGTTGGGGTAAGGACATGGGAGAAGGTGCCTCAAGCCCTAAAATTGTTGAACTCAATATTGAGTCCAGAAGGCTGTAGGGTTGCCTGCCACTTCAACCCACGGGCTTGTTCTCTGGCCAATATCTGTCTCAGGCCAGCTGAGTGATCCAGCAAAACCCATCACACGCTGGAAGAACAGCACCTCATTTTCTACGTGGGAACTCTTTCCTTCTGGGCTCTCTATAAGAGTTCAACAATTTTAGGGCTTGAGGCACCTTCTCCCATGTCATTACCCCAACCCCACACACCAGCCTTGTCACATGCTCTGCTATTACACACTACTCATTGTTAGCCACTTTTCGTCCCCATCAGCAGCTATTCATTCTCCTAAACTGATTGCTACTCACTCCTTTGTCTGTCCAACTGTTCTCCTCTCTTTGGGCTCTATCTCCTCCCTACCCCATCCTACCTTCTAAATTAAAAAAAACATTTTCCAAGCTACCATCAGTTCTGAAGAGTCACTGGACCTGAAACATTAACACTAATTTCTCACTACAGATGCTGCCAGACCTGCTGAGCAATTTTCCAGCAAATTCTGTTTTTTGTTTCCGATTTCCAGCATCTGTGATTCTTTCATTTTTTTTTCTCCCCCCAGCCCCCTCAGAATGTTAGCCGAGTTTCTGGATTAATAGTCTAGCAATAACACCACTAACCCTTTGGCTCCTTGTGTCCCAATGTCTGGTCTTCAAAATTTCTGCAACAATATCTATTATTTGAATTGAACATGTAACTAGTTGCAAAAACTGTATCTTGATAACTACAAGATTTCTAATTAGACTAGAAAGTAGTTTTCTGCAGCCACATGAGTCAAGCAGGCCCTGTAGATGTTTAGAGAATTGTGGCAACAACCTTCATCATAAGCAGCAGCTGGTAAAGTATAGTGTAGAGTAGTGAGCTGACATTCAAGAAGTGTGCTTTTCCTGTCTGTTGCTCTGATGCAGACTTACTGATCAGCACCAAAAATAAGCTCAAAGTTCTGGGTGTATCTGTATTTGTTAAAAATTGACATAACTGCAAATACTCCAAGCTATTGTGGATACATAGATCCCCAGAAGCCATACTGCCATAGTTTTGTGCTGCTGACTTTTTTTTTTGCTTTGGAACATTGTGAAGATGATTGTGACCAATCTTTCCTGTTGCCAGCATGCATGATGAACCAATTGATACAACTATTGACTTTGTCACCTATAGTTCAATAGTGACTGCTGTTGTGACATTGAACCATATCCTGAACAGTCCTTAGATATGAGCCTGCTAAGGTTCGATATTCCCATGCTGCACCCCTATCGTGCCGACTGATGTTTATATAAATCATCGTAGAATCATATAATCCCTAAATCATCGTAGAATCATATAATCCCTACAGTGTGGAAACAGGCCCTTCGGCCCAACAAGTCCACACCGACACTCAGAGCAACCCACCCAGACCCACCTCCCCTATAACCCACCCCGAACCTACGGGCAGTTTAGTAGTCAATCCACCTGGTCTGCACATCTTTGGACTGTGGGAGGAAATCCATGCAGGCACAGGGAGAATGTGCAAACTTCACACAGACAGTCGCCCAAGGGTGGAATCGAACCCGGGTCCCTGGCGCTATGAGGTAGCACTGCTAACCACTAAGCCACCATGCCGCCCCATAAATGTCACATAAATGGGGAAAGGTAGCCCAGCAGTAACACAAACATAGCGAGAGGCAGCTGTACATTTCTGAGGAGGGAGAGAAGTGGTGAGACAAACAAATTTAGAGAGGGAATTCTAGAGTTTAAGAGACTGGGGGTGAAGATGCAGCATGTTGGAGTCAAAATGCAAGGCCTGAGCTGGCGCATAAAACAATATAGGTGGTGCGGACAGCTTGAGTTTACAGAAGTAGTAGTTGGGGGACGGTGGTGCAGGGATAGGGAAAAGGCAGGAGCGGATTTCTATTCAAGAGCAAGATTTATTATGTTAAGTGTCTGGTTTTAATTTTAATTTTTTTTTTATACATCAAATAGACTTATTAAAATGGAATCTTCTTCCACGGTACAGGAATCGCTGACAAAAGGTCCGAATCCCATACTTCAAATTGTTACAGCATTCTGTCACAGATGACATGGAGATAATCACAACTGGATGTTGCTATTTAGTGATCTGTAAAAGGAGTTTTTAAATCTTTTATACATTGAAAAGAACCAAAAAAACTCTACATACATAAAAATAATTATATGTGCACTCTCTTTAATTTACGGGACTCTGAAGATTTTAGCAGCTGGTCTCTGTTCGGGTCCAACTTCTCATCACTGCCTGCACATCACTTTCTCCTCAGCCATCTGTGTCAATCCTGTGTGCTGTGGAGGGAATCACAGGGAACAGTTATTGTGCAGTAACAGATGACTCATCGATGAGCAGGAATAACTAAACCCAGTAGAATCTTCAAAATAAAGAAACTGATAAGACAAAACTAGTCCTTATTAGTCAAGAACTTTGACTGAAAAGGTAATGGGTTATATTTTCAGATTTAACTCAAGCTGCAAATACATCTAATGTTTCCATCACTTTCATAAAGGCAAAAATACTGAAAGCAAACAAAATCCCAGTTTGCAGCAGTAATTTAGCATTTGTGTCCCATTTAAAAGTTGACTGCAACAGATTTATCCTCTGTGGATTTAGAGACAATGGAGATGCTGAAAAATGCTTAATGACATGGTGAGCTCCTGTTCCCAGTTCTCTAGCAGCAACTTTCACTACAATTACTTCTCTTGCTGAAATTTTATATTTCAGTCATTAATATAGAACATTTCCAAGAAGTTTCCATTTCTGAAGTGATATGGTCATTAATACCTTAGGTCATGCTGGGGTGGGGTTGGGGTGAGAAATAAAAATATAGCAAGACAATTAAACATTTAGACAATTCAGCCTTGCTTGAATTCATATTAATTGTCCTTTCTATTCAAGTACTTGCATAACATGTCTTGCAAGATAAATTTCACTCCCTAAAAATTATGTTTAGCATTGATTTCCATTTGCAACCCTTCAGATAATGTAACAGTCTAACATATACAAAATTCATGTATGGGCTACAACAGGCAAGTAACATTTGCCACACACAAGTGTCAGACATAAACCATTTCCAACAATATCCCCTAACAATCAAGTGGTGTAATTGAGCCAGCGAGTTCTCAAAATTCAGATCTCAGGGCAGTTCTCGTAATCCCCTGCACTCATTCGCAGACGAGTGTATGGTTAACAGTTATTTTTCCTGCAAGATCCAGTTCATGATCTCATTTATTAAAAAACTGACAGTCAACAGGGATGGCCTGGAGGTAACTTTGAATATAACTCACATTGCTTTGGTATTCTTAGGGATTCATTGTCTGCTGTCATGACCTGGTGCAGAACCCCTCGGAACAAATAGATCACTTTTAGACTCTTTTCCTCTCCGACACATGGGTCATAGAATCCTGGTACGCCAGTCTGTGATAAACATATAGTTGGTGAGTGATTATACAAATGGAACACATACAATTGAATTCAGTGGGAAAATCTAGCAATGTACATTATACCAGATCTTCAAGGAAATTATAATTCAGACTTTGCTCTTCCCATTTAATTACAACTTTGTTTTGGAACTTTAACTTATCTCACTGGCATGTGGCAGCTTAGCTCAACTGGCAGCGCACTGAACTTTGAGACAAGTAATCATGGGTTTAAGCCCTATTGCAGAACTTGACTACACAATTCTGACTAATAGACCAGTGCATTACTGCGGGAAGACTACATTATCAGATGAAATATTAAATTAAGGTTATTTCACCTGGGTGTAATCGAGTAGGTTCTCCCAGTTACCTGGTCAACATTTATCCCAAACAACATTGGAACAGAGCAGCATTGCTATTTGTGAAAGGTTCTGTGTATAAATGGACTATGGTATTTCCTTGTATTATAACAATAATTCTACGAGAGATGTTCTGGGATGTTCTAAGATCACAAAAGACATTTTAAATTAAGGTTCATTCTTTGTCTAATAAAACATAGATCTTCAATATTGAGAAACTACCCAAAGAAGGTTCAAGGTTCCTGAGTGAAGGAGATGGATGGGCAGCATAGTGATTAAAGACCTTAATCAACTGTGTATTGTAAGGAGTTTCCTGAAAGCCAGGAGACAGCACAGAGAAGGAGAAATGTAAGAAAGGAATGAGAGAGCTGTACATTATACTATGGGATGTTACATCACTGCAGGGATCATTCCCACATCATACGGCTCAATGGTTTGCAATCACCTCAATTTAGAGGGTCTCTTCAGAAACTTGAGCACAATAATGTAGGCAAGCAGCACTGAGGAACTGTAGCACTACTGGAAATGTCTCCTTTCAGATGAGGTGCAAACTAAAGCCCTGTCTGTTCCCTCAGGCGGATGTAAAATATCCCAAGGCACAATTGCAAAGAAAAAAGCAGGGAATGGTTAACCATGTGTAAATATAACCTTGATGGTCAAAAAAGGAGGGAACTAAAGGCAATTAGTAATAGGTAAAAATACTACAATCCATTATTCAGGGTGCAGTTATTGGGCATTTGGAAAAAAAAAATCACAATATGAATAGGAAAAAGTCACGGTTTACCTTCTAGAAGGTGTAACAGTCAGTAAAGGGAAACCATAGAGATTTAATATACTTGAATTTTCAGAAAGCATTCAGAAAGGCACCAAGGAAACTGTTGCACAAGATTACATTCATGGGTTTGGGGAAAAACATGTTAGTTCAGATAGCCTAATGGAAAGAAAACCGGATGTATAAACAGAACGGTAGTTTTCCAGATAGCAGGATGTAACCAGTGTTGTGTCAAAAGGATCAAAGTAAAGAGCAGTAGCTCAAGCAATCTAGATCTAGATTTGGATGACTGGACTGAGTGCAATATAAAAAGGCCAGCTGACAACGCAAAACTGAGGAACCTGCAATGAGTGCGCAAAGGAACACAGTTGGGCAAGCATAGAACAAAGAACAAAGAAAATTACAGCACAGGAACAGGCCCTTTGGCCCTCTAAGCCTGCACTGACACGCTACCCATCACAACTAAAACCCACTACCCTTCTGGTGACCACATCCCTCTATTTCCAACCAATTCATGTATTTGTCAAGATGCCCTTTAAAAGTCACTATCATATCTGCTTCCACTACCTTCCCCAGCAGCGAGTTCCAGGCAACTACCACCCTCTGTTTAAAAAAAACTTGCCTCGTACATCATCTTTAAACCTTGCTCCTCACACCTTAAACCTATGCCCCCTAGTAACCGACTCTTCCACCCTGGGAAAAAGCTTCTGACTGTCCATTCTGTCCATGCCCTTCATAATCTTGTAGACCTCTATCAGGTCACCCCTCAACCTCCATTGTTCCAGTGAGAACAACCCAAGTTTCTCCAACCTCTCCTCATAGCTAATGCCCTCCATACCAGGCAACATCCTGGTAAATCTTTTCTGTACCCTCTCCAAAGCCACCACATCCTTCTGCTAGTGTGGAGACCAGAAGTGAACACAATATTCCAAATGTAGCCTAACTAAGGTTCTATAAAGCTGCAACATTACCTGCCACTTTTTAAACTCAGTGCTCTGGATTATGAAGGCAAGCATGCCATATACCTTGTTGACCACCTTCTCCACCTGCGCTGCCACTTTCAGTGACCTGTGTACTTGTACACCTAGATCCCTCTGCCTATCAGTACTTTTAAGGGTTCTGCCATTTACTGTATATTTTCCATCTGGATTAGACCTTCTGAAATGCATTACCTCACATTTTTCCACATTAAACTCCATCTGCCATCTCTCTGTCCAAGTCACCAACTGATCTACATCCTGCTGTATCCTCATCGCTATCTGCAATTCCACCAACCTTTTGTGTCATCGGCAAACTTACGAAACAGACCAGTTACATTTTCCTCCAAATCATTTATATATATTACAAATAGCAAAGGTCCCAACACTGATCCCTGAGGAACACCACTAGTCACAGCCCACCATTCAGAAACTCACCCTTCCACTGTTACCCTCTGTCTTCTATGACCGAGTCAGTTTTTTATCCATCGTGCAAGCTCACCTCCAACCTGTGTGACTTTACCTTCTGTATCAGCCTGCCATGAGGGACCTTGTCAAAGGCCTTACTGAAGTCCATGTAGACAACATCCACTGCCTTACCCTCATCGATCATCTTCATCACTTCCTCAAAAAACTCAACCAAGTCAGTGAGACACGACATCCCCTTCACAAATCTATACTGCCTCTTGCAAATATGTCCACTGATTTCCACGTGGGAGTAAATCCTGTCTCGAAGAATCCTCTCCAATAATTTCCCAACCACTGCTGCAAGGCTCACGGGCCTATAATTATGTGGATTATCCTTGCCACCCTTCTTAAACAAAGGAACAACATTGGCTATTCTCCAATTCTCTGGGACCTCCCCTGTAACCACTGAGGATACAAAGATTTCTCTCAAGGCTCCAGCAATTTCCTCCCTTCCCTCGTTCAGTATTCTGGGATATATCCCATCAGGCCCTGGGGGCTTGTCTACCTTAATGTTTTTCAAGACTCACAATACCTCCTCCCTTTTGATCTCAACATGACCCAAGCTATCTATACCCTCTTCCCCAGACTCATCACCTACGAAGTCCTTCTCTACGGTGAATACTGACACAAAGTACTCATTTAATACCTCACCCATTTCTTCTGGCTCCACACATAAATTCCCTTCCCTGTCCTTGAGAGGCCAACCCTCTCCCTGGCTACCCTCTTGCTCTTTATATATGTATATTTTCCTTAATCCTGTTGGCCAATGACTTTTCATGACCCCTTATAGCCTTCCTGACTCCTTGCTTAAGTTTCTTTCAACTTTCCTTGTATTTCACCCTTGCTTTGTGTTTCCAGCCTCCTAGCCTTGATAAATGCTTCTTTTTTCTTTTTTATTAGTCTCACAATATCTCTCATTATTCAAGGTTCCCTAAACGTGCCATACTTATCCTTCAAGGAATGTGCCAGTCGTGAGTTCCCAGCAACTTACATTTCAAAGCCTCCCACATACCAGATGTTGATTCGCCCTCAAACATCTGCCTCCAATCTACATTCTTCAGTTCTTGCCTAATATTGTAGTAATTAGCCTTTTCTCAATTTAGCACCTTCACCTGACAACTACACTTTTGTTTATCCATCAGTACCTTAAAGCTTACTGAATTGTGATCACTGTTCCCAAGCTGCTCCCCTACTGAGACCTGGCCAGGCTCATTCCCCAATACTAGGTCCAGTAAAGCCCCTTTCCTAGTGGACTATCTACACACTGTTTCAAGAAGCCCTCCTGGATGCTCCTTACAAACTCTGCCCAATCCATGCCCCAAGCATTAAGTGAGTCCCAGTCAATATATTGGAAGTTAAAATCACCCATGACAACAATCCTGTTACTTTTACATCATGCTGAAATGAGTATAAGCTTGAAATTATCCACAATGGTAGGAAGTATGGAAAAAAAGAATAGTTTTAAAAGATAATACCAACATTTTAATGATTCCTTAAGAATTTGAATTCCCCTGCACTTGAATCATAGAAGGTAAAATGACAAATTGGAAAGGCAAATTGTATGTTGGCTTTTACTGCAAAAGAATTGAAGTACAAGAATAAGAAAGTCTTGATACAAGTATTTATGACTTTGGTAAGACCACAACGGAAGTTTGTAGAAGGAAGGATGTACTTATTTCAGAGGGATTGCAACGAAGGATTACCAGGATTGATTCTTGGAATGAGGTTGCTAACCTATAAGAACAGAATAGAGTGGACCTATACTAGAGAGTATGTCAGAAGAATGAGAGGCAATCTGATTGAAAGGTATAAAATTCTGGCAAGGTAGATGTTCAAGAAAAATGCTCCCCTTCCTCCTGAATTAAGGGCATAGGTTCAGGATAACTGGTTTGTCATTTAGGAATTAGATAAGGCTAAATTCTTTTACTTGAAAGGTTGTGAATCTTCAGAATTCTCTGCCCCAGAGGATTGTGATGCCAGTTAATGAGTATATTCAATACTATGATCCAGAGACTTTTGGTCAGTAAGGAAGGATAGAGGAGCTGATGTGGAATTTCAAACACGATCACATTGAAAGTTGACTTGAAAGACTGAATAGCTATTTGTAGTCCTATTTCTTAGCCAACGTGTGTCTTGGCAAATAATTATGTCCCAATCAACACTGCAAAACAGATTATTGCACCATTGTCACGTTGCTGTTTGTGGGAGCTTAGTCTGTGCAAATTGGCTTCTGTGTTACTTTAATTACAATAGTTATAACACTTCAAAACTACTTATATGGCTGTAAGGTGCTTCGGGAAGTTGAGGCTGTGAAACGGTTGCATAAATACAAATATGTCTTTAGTTCTTTCCTTCCCAATCACTGTTGAGATACTTATGGGAGCCATCCTTCTGCAGATCAGAAGAAACCTTGAGGAGAGATTGAACAAGAAGGAGCAGGTACAGCAGGTGGTTGAAAAGGTTTAAAAAAAGTATGGCAGTCACCCTTGGGTGTGGAATGACAGCAATGTAGGCAATATAGTGTTGGCAAATCAATGCAAAGGGCAACTTTTTATCAAATAAACATTTAACCTCACCTTACAGGCTTCAGTAAGAATGAGTTTTGACTCCTTCACCAGACACTGAAGAGGAACAGTCACATCAATCACTTTGGCCCTCTCATTCCTCCCACTGCTGTCAGTCACAAACTTTCCGTACCAGGCATTGGTAATAATTAAGCCTAGAAGAGACAAGTAGACACTTACACATGTTCAGCCATATTACATTCATGATAGACATGCTCAATTGTGCTGCACAAGCCAGTGGGAGTCTAAAACAGAGACCCATGAACAAAGGAATTCTTAAGGATTGAGAGGTAGGCTTGGGGTCAGTGGATTCCGGTCTACGTGGGGTCTGGCACAGTGCATATCTTGAGCAGCAGAGCTGTATTTGTTAGTTTAGTCTGGGTTTGTCTCTATTACAATATTCAAGATATAAAACATTCACAGCAATATTTGATTAGCTTTGGTTTTCTTTCGATTCCCAATCTGCTCTTTTGCCATTTAGTATGGAGGGATTCCAGGATTATAATGAATGCAGAGAACCCTTTGAGTGTTCAGATGCGTGTTGTCGATTCTTGTTGAAGAATGAGGCTATGGATCAGATGGCAGAATTGCTCTCTTAAAATTCATAAATATTAGCAGAAAGCATACACATACAGAAGATTGGAAACACGACTATCATTATCTATAGACACTATATACAGAATCTAAGGATGCAGACTTTGGGAAGTGCAATTTCTCCACATGACATAAGCCACAGATTTCTCTCCTTCTCTTCCATGAACATATGGGTCTGAATTGGTTTACATTTTTCATCAATTATCTTCAGCCATGATATACACTTTTTTGCTCCGGCAGACATTAAAACGTAATTTAATCTGTAAGTTTTGCATTAATTCTGACGAAGAATTTAATTTTTCAATAAACTTTTCAATGTTATTCACTGTGCTTTTGTAGCTCAGATGACTTTACAGTGACTGGCTGATGCAGCATTAATGAGGGAGAAGAAAATGCACCAAAAAAATAACCTGACAGATTGAAATCCAGATAAGCAATATAAATTCTGACCTAGTTTGGACTCTTCTATTTCTATTATCCTCCTCACAGACTCCTGCATCAACCGGACCTTAACAATAAAAGCAAAAATATTAATAGAGTCTTAGTACTTTAAATAGATTACTCCCTACCCTAAACGATGTACATGCATTGAATTAACCCCCTTACTTGATATAGAAAAAAAAATTTGAGAACAACTTCCAATGGCTTTTTTTTAGATATTCTGTTCAATAATGCTGCTAAATAAATGCAGCTTGGTATTAACAAAGAAACATAGGAATTACAGATGAGAAAAGACCCTGGTTCATCTGGTTCAATGCCTACCACCTGATAGGCACACAATACAAAAATAATGGACTAGCTTGACTGCTACCAATGGGGAACCCCCCAGTATTAACTGCTCCGTTTCTGGTGACTGTGCCTTCAGTTGCTGTGGTCCCAAGTTCTGGAATTCCCTCCTTAAACCTCTCTACCTCTCCTCCCCCTATTCAGATGCTCCTCTTTGATCAAACCTTTACTCATTGGTCTTAATATTTCCTTAACACTGTTCAGTGTCAAATTTTATTTAGGTGTGAGACTGAAGTCAAAGGAGAGTTATGGGAAATTACAAACAATTGCAGAAATCAAAATTAATACATATCAGAAATATGCCCACCCATGTAATGAGCTCCTGCCTTTCAAATGTTTGGCTTAAATCATTAACCTGCCCTTTCCAGATGCTGCCAGACATTAGTTTCTGGTTTGGTGCAAAGCTCTAGGTTGCCACATGGAGGCACAAATTTGTCATTACAAAGTAATACTGGCAGGTTGGAGTTGGACCCTTTTCTCTACACCTTGCTTGTTAAGTTTAAGATATGGATTAATTTCTAAAAACACTCCCATGATTTAAGTCACCACCTGGCTGATTCCCCAAGGCTCCTCAATTCCCAAAACTACATGATTTAGGTTTTCACAGCAAAATGAAGGTACAGCCAGTTGCACATCTTGCTCTACGTTTCCAAACTCCGCTCTCCTTCCAAAGAGCTATTTTGTTCCAGCAACACAATGAGGAACCGATCATTGTCAAGGGCATAAATCTCCAATTCCTCTCCTGCTGAAGTACAGTTCTCAGGTGCACTTACCACCCTAGATCTTGCTTAAATAGCCGTTTATACTGCAAGAACTAGGACAGCGAATCGGGGCTGAATTCTTGCTTATAGCAGGTATCACAGCCTCCTAAGTCACAGCAGATGTCTTTACAGAGCCAAAATCAGACCCGAGTCTGATTTGTAGAATACATGGCCACAAAAGGAGTGCAGCTGGTTGACCAGAACGTTACCAAGGTTCAAATGATGCAAGATTACATACAGAAGGTTTGTACATGAACAGCTAATAAGTGGATTAGATAGCTTTTGTATAGCCTATCAATGACTTACAGTCATAGAGTCATCGAATCAAACAGCAAGGACGAGTCTCACCTGCCTGCGTTTGGCCCATATTCATCCAAATCTTTCCTATTCATGTGCTTATCCAAATGTCTTTTAAACCTTGTAACTGTACCTCCATCCACCACTTCCAAAAGTTGCCCGTCATGTCCTTATTAAATCTTTCTCCTCTAATCTTAAAATATGCCTTTGTGTTTTGCTCTTCCCCAGCCTTAAAGAAAAGACCTTTGCTATTCACCTTATCCATGCCCCTTGTGATTTTATAAACCTCAATGAAGTCACCTCTCAACCTCATATGCTCCAGTAAAAAAAATCCCAGCACATCCAGCCTATTTTTATAACTCAAATCCTTCACTCCTGGCAACATCCTGATAAATCTTTTCTGAACACTCTATGCTTTAATAGTATCTTCCTAAATAGGGTGATCAGAACCGCACACATTACTCCAGAAGAGGCCTCACCAACTTACTGTATAACCTCAACATGACATCCCAACTCTTATCCTCAAAGGTCTGAGGAACTGAAGGCAACTGTGCTAAACGCCTTTTTGACCACCCTGCTTACCTGTGATTTAATTTCAAGGAATTATGTACCTGAACCCCTAGGTCTCTCTGTTCTACAACACTACCCAGAGCTCTACCATTAATTGTATAAGTCCTGCCCTTGTTTGTTTTACCAAAATGTAATACCTCACCTTATTCCAAGTTAAACTCCATCTGTCACTCCTCAGCCCATTGACCCAATTGATAAATATGTCTATGTAATTTTTGATAACCTTCGCTGTCCACTAGACCACCAATTTTGGCATCATCTGCAAATTTACTAACAATGCCTCCTATATTTTTTCATCCAAATCATTTACATAAATGACAAAGAACAGTGGATCCAGTACCGATCCCTGTGAAACACCGCTGGTTACAGGTGCCCAGTCCAAAATCAACCCTTCACCACCACCCTCTGTCTCCTGCCGTAAAGCTAATTTTGTATCCAATTGGCAAGCTCACCCTGAATCTCATGTCAACTAATTTTACTAATTAATCTATCATGGTTTCAGATGAAAGCTCCTAAGTCTGGCTAGAACCTGAAATAATGAGATCCAACCCAAAAATTAGGACCAGGTAATTAAGGAGTATGTTAAGAGCCACTTCTTCATGCAAAAGATGGTAGAAGTGTCAAATTCTCTCCCCCATAAAGTAATTGAAGCTAACTCTATTAATAGCTTTGGGGATTTTTTTTGCCAGCCAAGGTTATTTAGGGATATGAAACCAAGATAACATGGCAAAATTACGATATAAACCAGTCATGACTTAGAGAACAGTGGAATAAGCTATAGGAGTTGAATGATCACTTATTCCTATGTAACTGCTGTGAAGAATGTTGCTGTCACATAGAAGCATATGAATGAGCAGCAGAAGTAGGCTACTCAGTCCCTTGTGTTTGCTCCGCAATTCAATAAGGTCATGGCTAATCTAATTGTAACATTAAATTTGCATTCCCCTCCCCCTACCCCTAACAGTCTTTTACTTCCTTTCTTAACAGAATCTACTTATCTCTGCCTTGAAAGTTCTGCTTCACCCTTTCAGGAAAAGAACTCCAAAGACTCATGCCATCAGAGAAATGATTTTGCCTCATCTTGGTCTTAAAATGGGTGGGAAACTGTGATTTTTAAACAGTAACCCCTCCCTCAGATTGTATGGAGATTTATATCATTATCTCTCCTAGCTTCAACTATTGCACTTACCGCTGCCTCAGCCTCTTGCTTCTTCAATGCTATGGTACTCGATGAATTTTCTCTTTGTTTCTGTAATTCTCTGTAACATATATGAACGCAGAACAAAATTGCATGTTACCTAAATGACCACCAAAAGGCTCAAATTTTTACACCCAGTAGAACAGAAAAATGGTATTAAAAGGATTTCCTAAAAAAATAGGAGATATACAGGGAACAACAGCTGAAAATGAACAAACAGAGGATTTCATTGATTTAGTTATTTTTAATCAACCTGTTTGTACATCATGACTCACCTCTCGGGCTAGTGGGAGTTGAACTTGGTTCTATTGGCTCAAAAGTAGGAACATTATCACTGTGCAACAAAAGCCCCAAGCCTACTGTATTGTAAAATATTCCCAGGTGGTCCTTCATCTAAATACTAAGCAGGCCTGAATATCCTTAGCTTCGGAGATTAGCCATTTTCAGTCTAATAAAGGCCATAGGTAAAAATTTCCACACAGGAATAGAACAAATCCATTTCAGCTAGTGCTGCAGATAGCCAATTGATAACTACATTTCTCTATCAAATTGTTGTGGAAATGAGACACATCAGAAACTTGCTTTTGAGCCACCCAGTGGTCTGTGGAGTTAAGACACATCAGAAACTTGCTCTTGAGCCACCCAGTGGCCTGTATGATGACTGATGCCATGGCAAAATTTAATGAGAGATACTGACGCAGAAATTTACAATGGCAAAAATTGCAACAAAAGTTCATATTTAGAAAAGAAATTTGAATTGCAGAAAAATAATTAAGATGTGCGTGCAGGAAGTTTCTGTCCCATCTTTAAATTTGCTTATGCAATGGATTAAAGATAGAGTTGCAGGCAAGAATCTAACAGAGATTTGTGTGGTTTACATAAACAAAACAACAGAGATGCAACAGCAGACTATCGACCAGGTTCTAAAAGATTGGATTGGAAAATTTGGAAATTGAATAGTGGATACTTTGGAATCAGTTACAGGCAGGTGTCAAACCAAGGGGATTAGATAGATATAAATAGAACAAGGCCACTAGCTGAAAATAGTGTCCAACTGTCCCAAGAATCTAATAGACAGTTTGCAAAAGCTGATATATTCTCTTACTAGATTACATCACAGCATTTAGCATTAATTGTAAATTGCGAAGTGCACAATGGATTTCAACATCAAACAGCATTAGCTTGCTTTTTCTCTTTGGGTGCCTGGGGCTTTCTATGGTTCAGTAGAACAGGAGGTGGTCCATTCTCGCTAATTAACAACTGGATCAGCTGCAGGTGGAGAATGAAAAACATGGGAGAACTAGAGAATGAGAAACTAGACAGTTTGACAGCCAGACAAAATACACTCACTTTTCTTTCTGCATGCGGAGATAGGGTTTGATGATAAGCCGGTGCATGGCAAAATAGAACACCAGGGGTCCAACTGTAGCATAGAAGATGGCACTGGGCAAGAGTTGGTCTGTTAGATGAATTGGGAAGAAGTAAGTCTGGCTGGCTCGATTTAACCTGGAACAAAAGAAAGTTTAAAAAACAAAATTCAGAGAGAAAAACTAAAATCCATGAACACAGGTTATTCTACTGCTTAAAGGATTCCAGCCTACTATACAATCCTTAGGCATTATAATAAGACACTGTGGCAGGTCTATTTGCTCATGAAATGCCGCTTCAGCAGCTGGACACCCACTTCTAATTGATGAGATCAGGTTTGTACAACAACTCAATATCATAAAACGTCCAAAGGTACTGCACAAAACCATCATAAAATGAAGTATGACAAGAGTTAAATAAGGAGATTTAGGTCAGATGACCAAAACCTTGAGAGGGGTTAACGAATGCCTCAAAAAGGAGGAAAGCAAGGTGCAAACATGCAGGGAAGGTACAGGTTAAAACTAGGCAACTGATGGTGTGGCTACCAATGGTGCAGCAAAAGAAAAATCAGAGAAAAACAAGATGTCAGAATTACAGCAACAGAGATATCACAGAAGACTGAGTCTGGAAGAGATTAGAGAGATGGGTAAAGGCAATGCCATGGTAGGTCTTGAAAAATAAGATAAGCATTTTAAGACCAAGATGTTTAACTGGGAGTCAGTGTAGGTGGGCAAGCACAGAACCGATAGGGAACAGGGCTTGCTGCAAGATCAAACTCGAGTAGGGAAGTTTTGGATGACTTTAGGTTTGTGGAAGGTTGAAGATTGGAGACTATCCAGGTGTGTATTGGAATTGTCAAATCTAGAGGTGAAAAGGCATGTCTGTGGATTTTAGTAGGAGATTAGCTGATGCAGGGGCAAAGATAGGCAATATTGGTTAGAAATAGGTAGTCTTCGTATTGGCATATAAATTTGACAGCTTATTTGGGATCGAAGGTAACACCAAGATTACAAACAGCCTAGGTTCATCAATGACTGTAGCCAGGGAGAGAGATTCAGTCAGGTACTTGGGGAATGAAAATTGGAGCATGAACTAAAAATAATGCCTTCAGTACAGGCCCTCTGCACGTGCAGAGTTTTAGAAGGCTTTTTCTATTGCTCATGCGCCAGCCAAAATTCATCTAAAGCAGCACAGCCCAGAAAATGAACCTAGGACCTTTAATTTTACTATCCTGGACGCTGCATCTACCCACTAACCCATGGAGGGTCAGAAAAAGATTCAACAATTTGCTTTTGAGAAGGAAAACTCACCATCATTTGTGAACACTTGTTGCCACAGTCACTGGATGCAGCTTCTATTTACCACATGCTATTAAGTTCTTGGTTTTTGTTCATCATATTCTGGGAGGGACTGAGGAAATGCCAAGCAAGGAACAATTTCTCAAGATTCAAAAACTGAATACTTGTGTAAAAAAAGTGTTTCACCAGACTGTTGGACAGTTCCAATGACCGTTAGGAATTGGATAAGCTCATTCACGTCTTTGAGCCGGTATCAACTTTTAATTAGATCGTGGCTGATCTGTTTTGCAACTCCATCCACCTGCCGTGGTTCCATATCTCTCACTAGTCACACAGGACGGAAAAAGACCCTTCAGCCCAACTTGTCCATGCAGACCAGACATCCCAATCTGACCTAGCCCCCTTTGCGGCTTTTGGCCCATTTCCCTCTCGGTGGTGTAGTGGACAGTGAAGAAGATTATCTCAGAGTACAATGGGACCTTGATCAGATAGGCCAATGGGTCGAGAAGTGGCAGATGGAGTTTAATTTAGATTAATGTGAGGTGTTGCATTCTAATAAGGCAAACCAAGGTAGGACTTGTACAATTAATGGTAGGGCCCTGGGGAGTGTTGCCGAACAAAGAGGCCTAGGGGTGTGGATGCATAGTTCCTTGAAAGTGGAGTCGCAGGTAAACAGGGTGCTGAAGGTGGTGTTTGGCATGCTTGTCTTCATTGGACGTAACATGGAGTACAGGAATTGGGATGTCAGGTTGTGGCTGTACGGGACATTGGTGAGGCCACTTTTAGAATATTGCGTACAATTCTGGTGGCTCTTCTATAGGAAGGATGTTGTTAAACTTGAGGGTATAGAAAAGAGTTATAAGGATGTTGCTGGGACTGGAGGATTTGAGTTATAGGGAGAGGCTGAATAGGGTGGGGATCTTTTTCCCCACCCCCGGAGCATTGGAGGCTCATGGGCGAGGTTCATAAAATCATGAGGAGCATGGACAGGGTGAACAGCAAGGTCTTTTTCCTAGAGTGGGCGAGTCCATAACTACAGGGCATAGATTTACGATGAGACGGGAAAGATTTCAAAAGGACCCAAGGGGTAACATTTTCACACAGAGGGTGGTGTGTGTATGGAACAAGCTGTTAGAGGAAGTGCTGGAGGCTGGTACAATTACAACACGTAAAACGCATCTGGTTGGGTATATGAATAGGAAGGGCATCTTCACATAACAAAATTCTACTGGAGAGGCAAAATAACACATCATCTATCAGGTGCTTGGTCAAAAATAGAATTACAAATGTTTTTTCATAAAATTTAAACTGCAAAGCTATTGCTTTTCCTGCTCTCTCAGTACAATCAGACAGAGGCAGCCAGATAAACCACTTTCAGATCTTTGCCAAGCTATCTCATTAACGAGTTGCTGGAAGCAAAATGAGGAGGAAGTAGTCTAAACAACTTGCATAATTTCTTATTTGGCTTTCCAATGGAAAAGCCTTCAGTATTCTTTGTAATTTCCCTGCGAGTGCCCCATTCATTGGAGATTATAAAGACTACAACCTTTTGTCTTACTTTGTTTGTGATTGTGGATTGAACTGTGCAAAAGGAATGGCTGTACTTTAGCATGCAAGTTACTGAAACCCTTTGTGGGTTTACACTGTTGCTTTGCAAGTAGTGGAGCAAGAAGGTAACCAGAAGGCATAGCAGCAGGGCATGTCTACAAAAGTAAGCTTTAGCCAGCAGCAAGTAGCTGACTGGTTTGTGGGTACCGAAGGTTAGCAGCTTAATGATAACTTTCTTGTTGTTCCTGGATAGTTGAACGGCTTGTGAGTATGAACAACAGTGAAAACCCGTCAGATCTCTGGAACAGGAGGTCCTGTCTGTCTCTTTCTCATTCTAGTAAAATATTTGAAGCTAAAGAAAGCATGTTGTTTTCTCCCAATGGTAACTGCAGCTGTTCTTTTAACCATTAAGTTAGAGACCTTTTCATTTGTGAATCAGTCACTATGAGCTTCCTGTGAATAAGTGAAAGAACCTGAACGAAAAGATCAAAGAACTGAAGGACTTGGCAAATAGAAGAAACACCCCAGCAAATCCTGTGGACTGCTGCTGTGGAGCTGCTTCCCTTGTATTTTATTCCCTCCACCCATGACACCAGTTTTCTTTGTCCATCTGTGTCTGACTATATGTGTCTGTACCCCTGTGGTAGGAGTTTAGAAGTGGGTTAGAATCGATTTACTTGCAATAAATAGATTTTGTTAAGTACAGAAACTTGGTCAGTGTTTTCTGTTAACCTGAGTCTATCAGGCAAGTAAATTGGGGGATTTGCATACTTTTGAAATTTTTAAAAATACTTTTGTGACAACTCCAGGAACAACTGGTCTGGATTTCCAGGGCGCTACACTAGTGAGGCACGACAAAACTTGCAGGGTTAAATAATAGGACTGAAGCCACTCTATGCCATGAAATGGCACAGCAACTACACACATCACCTGAAAAATTGCAAACCTGCAACAAATCCTTCAAGTCAACAATTTTGGCTTCCTAAATTGAACAAAGAAAATTATCTTGAGAAAATACCATATGATCTTCAGTACATACTTAATTTTGAGGGACACTCCCTGAGGCACTCCAATACTGACAGTTGCTCCTAGGATGCTATGTCTGGAGATCTTTCTCTCAGCACCATATTCAACCAAAGTGCCGAAGAATCCAGTCCTGTAGGCAGAAGCATACCAGACCCCTTGAAACATGGTCACCTCTGTGGAGTTTTCACTCCTAGTTATCCATTATAATATCCCAGCCTGCAGCTCACTGTTAATTATAATTATATTTTACATATGAACACCCAATACTTAGATGAGATTACTGCCTGTGGCTTATTTTCAGTTCTGTGCTATTCTACATATAAACCACCTGAACCTTGATTCACTTCCAGCGTGGAACACATGCCTTAACTCTACACAGGAACTGCCTGCAACTCTTAATTAGAGTTTCAGCCTGTAACTCACTCCTGCACACTTATTCTTAGAAATACTTGAAATGTCTACACCATTATCCTCCTAATTATTATTGCAGTTACCTTGCTCTAATAAATAACATTTAATAGTATTCTATTGTGCATTAGAATTGTCTGTTTCTTACACAGTCTAAACAATTTAAATTTAAAAATACAACAAAAATCTTACTTGATTGTCCCCTTTATTCTGGTTTGATCATCATCCTGGAACTTGTATTGGTAGCTGATTAGCATAAATGAATGAGGAATTCCTAGCTGTAAACAAATCAGCAATGTTATCATGTAGAAAAATGGTGAATTGGATAAAAGCAGCATTTTATTTGAAACGAGAGAGATTGCAGAACTTGGAGGTACACAAAGATTGGGTGTTCTGGTACATGAATCACAAATAGTACACAGATGCAGCAAGTGATTAAGGCTGTAATGCTGTTGTTTATTGCAAGGGGAATGGAATAGATGAATAGGGATATCTTGCTAAAGTTCTGTAATGTGTAGAGGAGGTTAAACTCTGCAGTACTGCACAACAGTTTTGTTCTCCTTTAAGAAAGAATATAAATGTGATGTGGTACGAACAATTTGGATGGGCATCACTCAGTGATAGCAGGATTGGTAGTGGGGAACAGGGTGGCTCATCAGATTTACTTTCAAACCCTTATCAGGTTGATTGTAGACAATTCTATCCAATCTATGAGCTTTAAAAAACCAATGTAAAATGACTGTGTTAATACAATATCCTAGGTATCAAGCCACAGTAAACAAAATACTTCTAACTGGACACAAGCTGCTAATCTCAGTTAATCAAAGGTGTAGAGATGATAGAAATATATATATTACTTGGGCACGGTTGAGATTAGGATAGTGTAAAGGGAACTATTTCCAACTCATACTTAACTTGTATTGTGATCATCGGAGCTAAGATTTTGAGCTCTTCCCAACTCAGTCATAGAATCATAGTCACTTAGTTATCAGTACTCCCAAGTCAAGTACATGGGTTAGATACAATGTAAACTCTCTCCACACTACTCCTGGGATTATGTGATAGGACAGTATGGAGAAAGCTTAAATAAGGTTCCAACCTTGGTTAAGTGTCTTAAGAGTACTAAATGGGACAGTATTGAGTGAACTTTACTCTGTACTCAATCAGTGCTGTAGCTGTCCTGACAGAGTATCTGACTGAATCGTGTAGATAAAACCTTAAATCTGCACCTGGTCAAGCAGTGTTTGATGATAGGGCATAATGAACAAACCCTACATCTACTCTGGCAATGTTTGTTCAGTCAGTCTGTTGAAACTTCATAAGAACGTAAGGAATAGGAGCAGGAGTAGATCATAGGGGCCCCATGAAAACGGTTGATCTTCAGCCTCAACTCATTTCCAGTTGGTTCCCCATGTTTCTTGATTCCTGAGAGGTTAAAAATCTGCCCACTTCACTCTGCATTGAACCTGCTGTACGAGTGCTTGATGGGGCGACTCAGACTGTACTTAACTCTTGTAGTACATGATCTCGGAATACTGATACTGGATGGCTGAGTGGGGTGGAGTTCAAAATCTCAGCACCTTTCAAGATGATTTTTAAAATTCATTCAGGGGATTTGGGCTTTGCTGACTGGGTCAGTATTTACTGTCCACCCCTAATTGCCCTTGAGAAGTTGGTAGTGAGCTGCCTCCTTGAACCACTGTAATTCCCTTGGTTTAGGTAGATCTACAATAGTGTTAAGAGACAGAATTCTAGGATTTTGATCCAGCAACACTGAAATAATGGTCATATACTTTCAAGTCAGGATTTAAGTGGCTTGGAAACAAACTTGCAGGTGATGGTGTCCCTATGTATCTGCTGCCCTTGTCCTCCTAAATGGTCATGGACATGGGTTTGGAAGGTGCTCATTAAGGAGTCTTTCTGCACTGCATCTTGGAAGTAGGACACACTGCTACTACTGGGCGTCAATGGTGGTGAAAGAGAACGTTTGTGGATGTGGCGCCAAACAGCAGGCTGTTTTGTCCTGAACAATGTTAAAAGTTTTTGAGTGTTGTTGCAGCTGCACACATCCAAGAAAGTCGGTGTATTCCAATACATATCTGACTTGTGTCTTGTAGATGGTGGACAGGCTCTGGGGAATCAAGAGATCAGTTACTTGCAGCAATATTCCTATACTTTGATCTGTTGTTGTAGTCACAATATTTATATGGTGACTCCTGTTCAGTTTCTAGTCAATGGCTAGTTTCCCTCTTGCTGGAGATTTTTATTGCCTGGTATTTGTCTGGCATGAATATTATTTGCTAATTGTCAGGTTATTTTTAGGTCTGCTGCACTTGGATATAGACTGCTTCAGCACGTGAAAATGGTGCTGATCATTGTGCAATCATTAGTGAGCATTGCTATTTCTGACCTTATGACAGAGGGAAGATGACTGATTAAGCAGGTAAAGATGGCTGGGCCTAAGAAAATTAACCCGAGGAACTCCTACATTGACATTCTGTAATTGAGATAATGGAGCTCCAACCACAATCATCTTGCTTTGTGCTAGATATGACTCCAGCCAACAAACAGTCCCCTCCTTATCTCCATCAATTCCTACTCACTCCAGTTTTGCCAAGGCACCTTGGTATCACATTCATTTAAATTTGACTCTGACACTTCCACCCCATCTCTAGATTTGTTTCTTCTATGCATGAATAAAGGCTGTAATTACGTTAGGAGTTGAGTGACCTCAATGAAAATCAAATTAAGTGACAGAGAGAAGATTATTGTTAAGCAAGTGCTGCTTGACAGCACTGTTGATGACCCCTTCCACCATGTTACTGATGCTCGAAAGTAGACGAGTGGTAATTGGCCAGACTGGATTGGTCCTGCCTTTTGTATACATGACACTCCAGAACAGTTTTACACATTATCAAGTAAATGCTAGTGTTGTAGTTATAATGGAATAGCTTAAAGGTGTGGCAAATTCTGAAGCACATCTTCAGAATTATTGCTTGAATATTGTCAGGACCATAGCCTTTGCAGCATCCAGTGCCTTCAATCAGTTTTTGATATCATATGAAGCAAATCAAATTGGCTGAAGATTGCCATCTGTGATGCTGTGATCCTGATGCTCAGGAAATGGTTGAGATAATTTGCTTCTTCTTGCTACTTCAGGCTGAATGTTGTTGCAAACGCTTTTTGTTGCCTTATCTTTTGCACAGATATGCTGGGCTGCCCCATCATTGAGGACAGGGATATTCGTGGAGTTTCTTCCTCTCGTGAGTTGTTTTAATTACCCATTACTATTCACAACTGGATGCAGCAAAGCTCTGATCTGTTAATTGAAAAATTGTTCAGCTGTTGATCACATTCTGCTTTTGCTGTTGGCATGCAAGTAGTTGCACACAGTGGCTTCACCAGGTGGACACCTCATTTTTAAGCACGTTTGATGCTTCTTCTGGCATGCCCTCCTGCATTCTTCATTGAGCCAAGGTTCAACCCTGCTTAATAGCAGTGGTAGAATGAGGGATATGCCAGGCCATGAAGTTGCAGATTGTGTTACAATTATGTACAATTCTGCTGCCAATGGCCCACAATGCATTATGGATGCCCAGTCTTGCGTAGTTAGATTTGCTCCAAATATAGCCCATTTAGTATATGCAACATAACACCATGGAGAGTAGCCTCACAGTGAAAACAGGACTTAATCTCCACTAGAACTATCCCTACTGACTGTCACGGACAGATGCACCTCTTGTTGGTTCCCTCACCATTTGCTGCAGACATGGGATAAGGGTGTCAATGGCTAGGCCATCATTTATTGCCCATTCCAGAGGACAGTTAAAAATCAACCACATTGCCGTGGGTCTGGAGTCATATGTAGTCCAGGACATTAGTGATCCAGGTGTAATTTTCTGACAATTGACAATGGTTTCATGGTCATCATCAGACTCTTAATTCCAGATCTTTTTTAAACTGAATTCAAATTCCACCATCTGCTGTGGCAGGATTCGAAGCACCAGAACACTACCTGCGTCTCAGGGTTAACAGTTCAGTAATAACATCACTAGGCCATCGCCTCCCCTTAGGACTTTAGCAGCTCAGTCAGGTGCGGTGCTGTTGAGCAACTCTTGGAAACGGACTTTGACCTTCAATATTTCCTCCAAGTGGTGTTCCACATGGAGAAGTGCTGATGCATCAGCTGAGGTGTGCACGGTAATCAGAAGAAGCTTTCCTTATCTGACCTGATGCCATGAGACTTTGAGAGGTGTGGACTCACATTTTGAGGATTCTCAGGGAAACTGTCCCCCTACTGTGTACTGCTGTGCAGTCACCTTTGTTGGGTCTCTTGTTCTGTCGAGAGAACAGGAATGGTGATGATTGTGTATGGGACATTGTTTGTAAAGTATTATTCCATCAGTATGACTATGTCAGGTTACAGTTCGACTAGTCAAGACCAGTCATATGTCAGTTAAACCAAGGCTGACAGATCTCCTTCCCCAAAGAAGATTAGTGACACAGTCATTTCTTTTTACAACAATTGACAATGATTTCAATCATCATGAGACTTTTTATTCCAGATGTTTTGAATTCGAATTCAAATTCAATATTGTAACATGATGGGATTCAAACCCAGGTCCCCAGACCATTACCTGGGTTTCTGGATTACTAGTTGTGTCACAGTACCACTGTGTTCCACTAGCCCCTCAAATTGCCAGGAGGAAGGATAAGAAATTTTGAACTGAAGTAAATATTAACTAACGCTATGTGTATGATGCATGTAAGAGACAACAGTACTGGTTTTAATTTGTTTAAATCTCCATTACCTGCAATGCTAATGTAAGGTGGCTGGTTTTAGTATCCCTTACTAGACTTGTATTCATGGCAGACTGACTACCCCAACGCCACTGCAGGTAGCCCATTGTGTTCTTGTCCAGGTTTCGTGCTAGGACTGTGGTCAAGCCAGGACGGATTCCACGAGATGAAAACTGTAGGCCACAATGAGTGGTGATAAAACTGTATAGGGCCAAGGAGAAGAGAGAGAACATGTGTCAATGAAGGCCACTGTTCGGTTTAAATAAAAAGCTGATTGTTCCTAAGTTTCCACCTTTCTAGGTTGCCAAAGCTGCTGTTGATGGATGTGCAAAGCTTGGTGTAAATTCTGATCAGTCAAGCTAGAACTTGCCCATCTCCAAATAATTTTCAAATGTGCCAGAAAATTACAGAAAATTAGGGTTAATCAATGGCAGAGGTTAGGTGTAGAAATCCTGCCTGATTTGTCTGTTCCTAATCCATGGATTTGTTGCAGTTACTGCTGACACTTAGTGGAGATCAGATAAATGAACAACTGGCCAGTGATTGTGCCCACTCCTTTTGGACAGTATGATTCCATAATCTGTCAGCTGTATATTTACATACCCATTATCTGGAAAAGGTGAATCAAACTTTTGAGAACAGGTAAATTTAATATTGTCGGTTAATAAGGGCATTTTCCACCTAACAAAAGGCTCTGTTTCAGCATGTTTGCTTTGCCTCTTGACCTTGATTCAGCTCTAAATCTTATTGCCATGTGATCAGTTGCTTTACTCCAGAAAACAGCAGCAATTTTGCATGGAGGGGAACAGTCATCACTTACTAAATTTCCATTGAGTTTGAAACAAAAAGTTTGGAGAGCTCCATTTCAATAACGATGAGGAATGGTCAACTAGCCAACTTGTCTCCAGGAAATCCCTAGTACTGGTGAGCTGTGAAAAATCATGGACCTAAAATCATCTGTTTTTCCAGAGCATACACCACTCATGATGTCATGTGTCAAATTACTCATATACTGTATCCCCAATTGTTATTTTCTGAAACAAGTGTTTCTAATTTGCATTGAAATGAATCAATACAATTTGTACCAGCACCCTGCGGTGCATGCTGTACAGACCAGTCACACTGTCACTGAAATAATATTCTTCTAGATTAGTTTTGAATTTACAGCACTGAATGTGCGGGTTGTCTCCTCGGAGTTCTTCTGCTCTGACAATGTAAAACAGCTGGCCATGGCCTATATCATGCAGTTCCTTAACAATGCTAAAGATCAGAACACATTTTAACCTTTTCTATTCTAGTGAAGACATAATCAATCCTCATAATCCAATCTCTTCAACCCCTCAATCATTGCTTTCTTCTGTACTTCTACAATAACTGATTTTCTTTAGTACAGTGGTGACCAGACCTACACACTGCAACAAATTAAAGTGTTGCTGGATTACCTCACTATTTCCGCTCAGTATCAATCCTATAAAATGTCCTCACATCTGATTTGTTTTACTTGCTATCATTGAACATTTTTGTTTAATTTGTCAATCATGATCCCAAGAGTTTAATTTTCTAATTCTTTTCATACCAGAGATCAGTCATTTCCTAATAGAGGGAATGGTGGTTAATGGCCACGACTAAACTCTACTTTGGCTGCCCTCTGACCATCTGCCAGAAGGGGCGAGAGCCCAGCCAGATGTCCAAATATTTCCCAACTAACCATCAATCAAGGATCTTGGAAGAACTATTATGAAGAAGAGCCAGCTGAAATCACACTGTGTCAGCTTCAATGTATGTAGCACATTGTTAGCCTTTTAATTTCAAGCAGTGCACTGCCTGTAGCTCGAGAAAGATTTACCGGCCTGAGAATGGGGCACAATGGCTATTCACATACTGTGTTTAGATAAAATATGATGACAGGTTGCACAATCTTGGGTGTATTCACCTTGAGTTTAGGAGATTGGAAGGGTGAGTGGGATATATAACATGATTGAGGGATCATAGAATCCCTAAAGTGTAGAAGCAGGCCATTCAGCCCATTGAGTCCACACCGACCTCTGAAGACCAACCCATCCAGACCCAACCCCTACCATATCCCTGAAACCCTGCACTTCCCACAGCTAACCCATCTAGCCTGCACAACCCTGGACACTATAAGCAATTTACATGGCCAATCCACCTAACCTGCACATCTTTGGACTGTGGGAAGAAACTGGAGCACCCAGAGGAAACCCAAGCAGACACAGGGAGAATGTGCAAACTCCATACAGACAGTCATCTTAGGGTGGAATCGAACTCAGGTCCCTGGTGCTGCGAGGCAGAAGTGCTAACCACTGAGCCAATGTGCCACCCTTTGACTGTTCAAGGAGCAAAATCAGGAAGTTCTTATTCACACAAAAGGATAACGGAGAACTAGAATGCAACAATTTCTGGTGAATACACAGCAAAACTTTAATAGCAACAGTCAAGTCTACTTGAAATTAAGACTGCAACTTGCTTATGTCACCTACCTTTGTGAAGTGATGTTTCTAAATATTTTTATCCCAAACAAAGGCCCTTGAATATCTCCTGCTCCGAATTCCAACTGTCAAACATAAAGTAAGTGAAAAATCAGACTCTTGTTAATTTTATGACAGCTTAAATATCATGGTTTTATATTGCTCATTTTGATTTCATTTATTGACGTCACATGTACTGAGGTACAGTGAAAAAAATGTTGTTTTGCGTGCTCTACAGGCAGATGACAAGTGCATCAGGTAGCAGAATGCAGCCTTACAGATGCAGAGAAGGTGGAGGGAGAGAGAGAGGGAGGGAGAGAGAGAGAAAATCGGATAACAGCGGGGAAGAAGCTGTTCTTGAATCTTTTCGTATGTGTATTCTTTTGTATCTTCTACCTGTTAAGTGTGTGTGGAAGAGCGTACAAGTGGGGTGGGAGGGGTTGGTTGCTTTCCCGAAGCAACGAGAAATATAGATGGAGTCAATGGATGGAAGGCTGGTTTGTGTGATGAACAGGGCTGTGTTCACGATTCTCTGTAATTTCTTGCGGCTTTGGGAAGAAGAGTTACCAAATAATGCTGTGATGCATCCAGATAGCATGTTTTCTATGGCATATCTATAAAAATTGGTGAGTGTCTTTGTGGACATGCCAAATTTCTTTAGCCTCCTGAGAAAATAGAGCTGTTAATGCACTTTCTTGACCATCGCATTGATTGGGTGGACCAGGACAGATTGTTAGTGATCATCATTCCCAGAAACTTGACTCTCTGGACCTGTCTGCCTCAGCATCATTGGTGCAGACAGGGGTGTGCCCTCCACTCTACTTCTTGAAGTCAATGACCAGCTCCTTCATTTTGCTGACATTGATGAAGTGATTTTTGTCTTTACACTATACCACTAGGTGCTCAATTTCTTTCCTGTACTCTGTTTCATCGCTGTTTCAGATCCAACCTACAATGGTGGTGTCATCAGCAAATTTGTAAATGGAGTTGGGGTGGAATTTGGCCACACAGCTGTGAGTGTATAAGGAGTACTACAGTATGGGCTGAGTATGCAGCCTTGCGTGGTACTGATGTTAAGGATGATCATGGAGGAGGAGCTGTCACTAATTCTTACTGATTTGTTGTGTCAGTAGTTTTCTTGCAACCGAACTGAGGACTGAAGGTTCAGACTTCAGACTTGATTATCCAAGTTCATTTGAAGGGTGTGAAATGCAAATGCAGAGGAGAACATTAATAATTTCAGGACACTATGCTAAGAACAGAGAGATCTCCCTGTGCCTTGGATAACATTCCCTCTTTTAAACAAACAGAAAAGAACAATAAAGGTCATTCATTTCATTTCCTATTGTGTTTTTGTGTGGTTGTACAAATGGCTTTGATGTTCAGTCAGAATTAGTTATTGCTTTTCAAAGAAATACAGTGCTTTAAAACATTCTAGTGAAATGTCATGAGAAACAGTGCAGATACAAAACTTTCAGCTGCATGTTATTGACTATGGAACAAAAATCTTGATCCACAAACATTTTATGTCTAAAATCCATTCCCAGAGATTAAATATATAGCCATTTTCAGTGTGCTAAAAGCAAGATCATATGCAATTTTAGAAAAATTGACACCAACAATACGGATGCACCAGCTGAAGATCTTGGACAGGCAGTCGACAGGCACTACTAGTGAAGAATGCTACACAGCACTCAATCTTTATCAACACAAAGAGATACACGGGAATCAGCTAAATGGAACACCACACTGTACTGGACATTACTTAGGGTATTGACGGGGAATAATTCCCAAACGAAAACAACCAATCTGTTGATTGATGAAAAGAAAATGTTACATATTTCAACTCATGAAATCAGGAGTTTGATGGCATACCATTTTCATTTGGACTGCTGAATTATGATACTGCAACATCATGCAAGCAACCTGTTTACATTCTTTGGTGAATCACAGCCTCACAGAACATGCCATATGCGAATAAAAGAAATCATAAAACACAAATTTACAGGTTACACCAAATAAATTCATGTATATTTCTGGAAAAATCATAATGGATCAAACACTTACTCAATTCATCAGCGAGGCAGACTTTGTTTGGAGTGACCAAATGGTCTGTGGAGTAACCACGTGCAAACTGACAACTTTGTGCAACTTTTTTACATTCAAGTGCAATCTAAATTCAACCTCATTGCTTCTGAACAAATTCATCCTGGATTGGAAGCAATAGTTCAAACAATAATTGCAAAGGAATTCCAAGAGTACCAAGTTAGACTGTTACCGCAAGAAGTAAACGTTCAGCCCTTACCTCGCCCCATCCTTTTGCAGATGTTACCCGCCTCAATGCAATGTTGATTGAACCACCGCCATTGCCATTCTGCGTTGATAGACTCCCTGCTAGAACAGCTGTATCTGTCGTGGTCAATGGAGCCTGTGAGAAAAACATCAACTTAGCGGTTAGCTTCACCTTTCTTACTTTTCTGAAAATGCACAATGGGGTGCACACCATAAGTGATAGCAGTCTTGCTGTATATCATACAAGTGGATGTTTAGTTTTTGTCAGCTGGACAGTGCGACTTCAAATATTTTACTATGGAAGGGATTAAAGCTCAGCCCAAAGCATACATGATCATACTCCTTCCACTACCGGGTAGTGATCAACAGCAGTAATGGCGGCTACCTTCCCCTTTCCTATCTATTAGCTTCTCAAGGTAGTTTCTGCATTTCGTTAAACTTCATAATAGAGCCTAATCTGTAGCAACTATTGGGCAGTTTAACCACATCTTGAAATTACTTTACAATAAAACAAGAAATCGGAGCAGTAGGAAATGATATATGCTCTGCCACTGAATATGATTATAGTTGCCTATAGTTGCTTTCTGCCTCAGCTCTACTTTCCCGCCCACCTCTCATATCCCTGCATTTTCTGCACTAGTCTCAAAATGCTGACAAAACAGCTGGATTGCTCAAAGCAAAGAACAGTTGGATTGGTCAGTGCACATTATTTGAAGGATTTAACATATGGTGCTTATCCAATGAGCTGTGTCTACAGTCCATTAGGCAACTGCAATTTCGCATTGTTGGCTCAGCCAAGGCTGTTTATTTAGTACAGACCTTCCTGGTCTGTAAGACTTGGTACTCCATACCAGAGCAGAATCTGGAGGTGTCACTTCACCTTGAACCATCATTTTGGGGTACAGAATTTTGGTAGGAGGAACAGCATTAGGAAGCGGGAGGCAATGGCCTAGTGGTATTATTCCTGGAATGTTAATCCAGAGACTGGATAACATTCTGGGGACCCGGGTTTGAATCCTGCCATGCCACATGGTGGAATTTGAATTCAATAAAATATATGGAATTAAGGATCTAATGATGACCATGAATCCATTGTCGATTGTCAGAAAAACCCACCTGGTTCACTAATGTCCTTTAGGGAAGGAAACTGCCATCCTTACCTGGTCTGGCCTACATGTGACTCCAGACCCACAGCAATGTGGTTGCTCTTAACTGCCCTCTGGGCAATTAGTGATGGTCAATAAATGCTACCTAGCCAGTGACATCCTCATCCGTTAATGAATAAAAAAAAGGAAGTGCTCAGCATTAGTTTTAGCCTTCTACATTTATACCTGGCATTGAGCAAACCATCAAGGAAGGGCTACTGTACAGTTTCAAAAGTTATCCCTTTTACAAACTTTTGTGACAAGTTTTGAAATACCTACTTCAATAGATTGTGATATGTGCATTTTATTAATTTCAATCTGAGGAAACCGACTGCCTGGCTCTTCAAACTCCTCATCATAGCGGTCAAACAGATCTGTGGCATCTACTCCAACACTTATCGTGCCCTGCAAGAAAATTAAATGAATCATTGCTCATTTATGAGGAGGTACTGTTCTAAAGTGACAGTGCAGCAAATGATGTATGTGGCTCTTGGCACTATTCAAAAGAACAACTGCAGCCTTAAGTTGATAACTGTAGTAATCCATCCCTTGCAGTGGTGCTCAAGGAGTCAAAGCCAAGCCTGATTTTCAGAGGAAGTAGGCTTAGTGGAACAATTCTGTGTTTTTATATCTTGCCATTATAAATTCCCATTCATAAAGAAAACCAGATATACTCTCACTCTCTAATCACAGTTGTGGCATTGTAGAACTCGATTGATGGGAGTGTGTAATTAGAGTGTGAAAATTTTAGAATGGTATTTTATTGAAGTGCAGACGTAAGAATTTATAATGGAAACTATTACACTAACTATGAACACAGATTCAGATATACATGCACATTTTGAAGCACTTTTATGTTTTTAACTCTTGATCCTGCTTGAAGTTTGCAAGTCATCAAGCATATGATAATATAATTACTTCAATACAATGTAATCATTCTCAGACCTTAGTTCCAAATGATTGAGCAGACTCGTGTACCTTGGGATTTGTTCTTTGTTGCAATCGCCTTTCTTCCCTTTCTCGTTGTAGCCTCTCAAATTCTTCACGTATTTCAGCTGCTGCTTTCTTTCTTTCCACTACCTGTAAAACAGAACAAAACAAAAACATCAATTCACAAATTACAGCATTAGCCAGATAAGTCACAGACAATAGTTGCTGTTTAATGTACAATACATGGTCTAATAACCAAATCTTGTACACAAGTCCAAAAAAGCAGCCCTGTAAAACCTAACTTCCACCACTTGGAACAGGTAAACTGCCTCTGGTAACTCAAGTTGGTTAAGGTAGAGAGAGTTATCTGAGCCTGACTAGAAACTTAAGTTCTGCACTCGTATGGAGTTAATGGATCTCAGCTAGTTTGAAACTGCAGTTTAACTCTGATGTAAAGTGTGCACACATGTAGACATTACATGAGGACAAATCATGCCAAAACCCAATATACTGGCACCAAACAAGAAGCAAAGTATCTATGAAAGTATACCAACTCATGGAGTCAGTAGCTTCAGGGAAGAGAAAATTGGGAAAAGAGAGGGAAGCTCAACCAATTGAATTTTGACAGATGTGAGGTGGTAAACTTAAGAACAGTGAGAAAGGCAGGGTTGAAAAAGCTGAAAATTGAAATAGATTAACAACACATTAAGTTGGCATGATAGGCAAGTCACTGGCAACAGTCACTGAGATCAGGGAACAGAGATTCTGATTGTACATTGAGCAGTGAATAAAATGCTTTACAAAGTTGAAATCTTACTCCCTCCTGGCTCCCTAAATGGAATGTGCACCACAACCTGGAGGTAAAAGGTAAACATTAAAACTATTCAAACTCCTGGACCTTGTGTTGCCCAGGCACCAGTTTATACACATGCTTCAATTTATCTTTCTGGGAACTAATCTGTAAGCATTTGCAACAAGTAATTAGATCACTACTGCCACCGAGACTTTGGTATCTTCTGCAGTACCAATATGACAAATTTTTAAAAATCAGTCCGCCCAGAAGGAAATCTGTTAGCTTGTTAATTTACTGATTATTTACAGAAATGTTTGCGTAATGGCCTCAAGCTCACTACCAGACAGAGAAAACACAAATTCCTCTCATGCAAGGCTCTTTAAGATAGCAAATTTCTTTAATTTCACTCTATGACAGGATCCAGCCTTTTTTGTGGGGTTGGGGGAATGCTAGGAATAGAATAATGGCTTACCTCCCATCCTTCCATTTCCAGGCCTTTTTTACCATAGATGTCATAGATGGCTCTGCTCTGGGGATCACTAAGTACTGTCAAGCAAAATAGGAAAATAACAAGGATTCAGAACAAACTGATCTTTAAATAAAGGGACACAATACATGATTCCATACCAGAAAGTTGTAGCCCAGGTTGTGGGAGAAGTAGAAGAGACAGAGAGGGTGAAGGAAAAGGAGACAAAGAGTAAGAGTATGAGAAATTGAGAGGGGGAGGGTGAAAACAAAAAGTAAGAGCAAGAAAGGAGATCAAAAGGGAACAAACAGAACAAGAGGGCACTACACAAAAGACTGTACTATACAGCGGGAATTAAGGGACATTGGCCTTTTAATTTCCTTTTTGCCTTCAGACAAGGTGATCTGCAACCTGCTTCCTTGTTTGCAAAGGGAAGATGGGAAATTGACGTGCCACACAACTCCCGAAGCTATGCGAAAAAAAATTTGGGATTGTCACAAATACAATATACTAACTGAGTAAAGTTATTGGCAAAATTGGTGGTGACAGGGATGGGGTCAGAGAGAAAGCGCTCCATTTTTTTACGACCTAAGGTACTTGCCTTCATATGCCTGGTGTACAAGGTTGAACAGAGTCTCTGCTTGTTGTTTCAGATCAGGATCTCGGTGCTTGTCTGGGTGATATAGCATACACAACCGGCGATAAGCAGCCTTCAGCTCATCTTGTGTGGCCTGCAAAACAACAGATGGATCAGCAAGACTAAACACAAAAATAAGAAGCAAGCGTTGTTTCAAACTGATCTGGTAGAGTCAAGATGATAGTGCTGCTGCTTGATCCAAGAATATAATTTTGTTCACCATTTTTTTGGAAAACTCATGACTCACTTCTCTTTGCTTAATCTACGTACAAGTCACTGGGGTTGGTGGCATGTAAGATGACAGGGGAGAGCTATTCTGACACTGTCTATCTCACTGAAAAGCTGAGTGCTAAATTAAGAACTTCTCATTCAATCTCCAGGGTTCATCGGAATGACTTACCAAGTTAAGTGGTACAGAGTCATACAGATCAAGACATGACTTCAATGCCTTCAAACCAGTTGGGGAAGTGGAGGCATAGAACTAAGCTTGCCTAGTAAATCTCTCTCACGCATACAACCATGATCAACTTTTGAAAGGGCAGTCAGAACATTTATTATACATGTCAAGTGAATGAGGCAAATCTATTCTTAGTTCTGCAAGGAAGCTGAGGTGCATAAATAGAAGCTCTGAAAACCTGAAATTAAATGCAATGTCAGGAGTTGTTTTCTCATACTTTTGTCAACATTTTTGTTGACAATTTCATTTCTACTTCTGTTAGGTCACAGTTCCACAAGTAACAAATGCTTTTTGGAATTTCAGCCAAGAAGTTGTTCTTCACACAAGGGCCTGGACAGAAAGACTTAACAGGGGAATTGCTGGACGAAAAAAAGACCAAGGTCGATCTAAGTCACCTCCTACCATACTAGTAGTTACGTGATACAACGGCTTTTGACGAATCATAGCAATCAATCTTCAGCATAAGTCAAGAACAAATGCAGACATTTGTTAGCATCTAGTCAAGCACCAGCCTTACATTATCATACACACTAAATAATACCTTACTAACAATATTATCAGATACCACTAACACCATCTCCTGTTAAATCATGTCCAGCAGCAGCACAGATCCAACAGAGGTGGGAGCACAGTGGTATATAGTCAGGAGGGACTTACCCCTGACATTGACTCTGGACTACATGTAGTCTCAAGCAAAGGAATTGTCTGCTGATGACCTATTGATTTCATCTATTATTGGTCTGGTACAACTCTCTCAATATTGTAATTGAGAGTTGTTGGTAGAGGGGACTCTGTCAAGTCAACAGGGGCATTTAAAAGTTGACCATTGCTGTGGGTCAGGAGTCACATCCAGGCCAGGCCAGGACTGGATAGCAGATTTCCTCCCAAAAAGATGTTAGTGAACTAAAATGGATCTTTATAATGCTAGTTTCATTGTCATTAGTAATGAGACAAGATTTTAACTCTAGATTTACTAATTATAATTTTAAATTTGAACCTACTGCCCTCCTTCAGCTGATGAATCAATACTCCTCCACGTTAACATCAATTAGAAGAAGCACCGAGGACGGCAAGGGCATGCAAAACACACTATGGTGGAGATTTAAATGTCCATCAAGTGTGGCTCAGAGCACAAATACTTAACAAATTGAATGAGTCCTGAAGGACATAGCTGCTAGATTTGATCTGTAGCAAGTTAAGAGACCAAGAGGGAAGACTTACTTTACTTCTTACTCTCCAATCTACTGGAGGTCACCAGCATCATGGATGCCAGTCATCAGCTAATTTGATTTACTTTACAAGAAAGTGAAGACACTGGATACTGCCAAGACAATGGGTCCTAACAACATTCTGGCAGCAGCACTGAAGACTTATACTGCAGAACTAGCCATTCTGATCAAGTCGTTCCAATATAACTAGGTTAGGTGGATTGGCCATACTAAATTGCCTGCAGTGTCCTGGGATGGGTAGGTTATGGGGATTAGCCATGGGAAATGCAGGATTATGGGAATACGGAGAGGGGAGGGTCTGGCTGGGATGCCATTTGGACGGTTGGTGTCAACTCCATGGGCTGAACGGCCTGCTTCCACAATGGTAGGGTTCTATGATTCTATGTACTAAAACAATGGCATCTATCCAATAATGTGGAGACTTGCCTAGCTAAGTCCTGTCCACAAACAAAAGTCAAATCCAACCCAGCCAATTGTTGTCCCGGTCTACTGTCAATCATCAAAGTTAGGGAAGGGGTGACCGAAGTGCATCAAGCAGCATTTACCCAGAAATAACTTGCTCAATAACACTCAGTTTGGGTTCTACCAAGACCATTAGGCTTCAGAACTCATTACTGCCATGATCTAAAAATTGACAAAAGAGCTGAATCTAAGAGGTGAGGTGAGAGTGACCTCCCTTCACATCAGGAGGAGCAGCATTTGAATGGTTGTGAATTTTGGATGTCCTGTGGCTTAGATGATTGGCCTCCTCAGAATATTGTCTTTTGCCAAAACACCCAACAGCTTCAGCTGCATCAATGATCTTACCTCTATTAAAAGGTTGGGATGTTTGTTGATGATTGCACAACATTCAATAATATTCGCAACTGCTCAGGCACTGAAGTGTCTATGGCTGTACGCAGATGAGGTCTGATAAATTGCAAGCAATATTCATGCTGCATTCCTCAATTTCAAGATCTTGGGGTTACTGATGAGAAACTTAAACTTGATATAAAATGATGAGCAGGTCAGAGTCTGAGAATTCTGCAGCAAGCAATTTATCTCCTGATTTCCTAATGCCCCTGCCCATCATCTAAAGCATATCAGGGGTGTAATGAAATACTCTCCACTTGCCTAAATGAATCCAACAACACTCGAGGAACTTGACACCATGCAGGACAAAATAGCTTGTTTAATTGGCACAGCAGCCATCATTTTAAAGATTAACTCCGTCCACCAAAGATATGTAGTGGCAACAATATATATCTACAAAAGTACACTCTTCAAGGCACCTTCAAAAGTATTGTTGTAACCTGCAATCTCTACAAACTAGAAGGACCATAGCAGCAGAACCAAAATATTTCTAAACCATGCGCAGCCTCTCCAAGGTTCCATGAATAGTGATTGGTGTTGGAACGCTGATTGTGGCATTGGCTTTCAGTTCCGGAAGTTGTTGCTGCGCATAAGCCATGGAGGCCTGCACAGTCAGAATGAAACTAAAGGGAATGCTGATCGAATCCCATCACCTTGCAAGTTTCTCTCCATGTCATACATCACCTTGAGTGAGAACTATGCTGTCATTCCCTCCATGCCACTGGGTCAAACTCCTTCCCAACACTACATGGACTGTAGTGGTTCAAGAAAGCAGCTCACTTTCTCAAGGGCTATTAAAGATTGATAACAAATGTTAGACAGCAAAGCCCACATCTCATGAAAGAATTTAAACAAAAAAAATCAACTAAAGATAAAGAGCCCAGCTTGATCCTGCCCTCACCTGATGAAACCCTCAAGGTAGGGGTCACCAGTTTACAACTCAAGCCCAAATATCTCACTCATGATTTTTCACCTGGCTCCAACAACACTCAAATCCACTTAAACATTCTTGCTATTTCCACAGCCATGATCAGCAAACAGAGCAAAAAGGTGGGAATTGGGGATCTTCCCAGCTTGGATAGTCAAGCTTCTCACTCAATAAAACTAACAAGCCATCAAAGTAAGCATTAGGTAGTTAAACAACCAAGGTAACCACCAGATACCCTTGACTTAAATACTCAAAAAGAAAAATGTCAGGTTCCAAAGGATTTCTGAAGAAAGCTGTTAGACACAGTTATTAACATATACTTTCTGCAGTCAGCATTATTTTCTAATCATTTGCAACTAATTTTACCCTTCAATGTTTTGGAAAGTGGAATTTGTTGGTAGAATTAGTAGTTTAAAACTCATAAGCTCAAAGGACAAACTGTTCTTCTACCATTTTTCTCTTGGAGGAGTGTTTCAGCAGGATCATTAATTTTCTGAACACTGCTTTCTTAATCCTCCATAGCAGTACCTGTTAACAGTAAAACCAAGGAAATGATTTATGTTTAGAACTTATTGCCTTTCCTGAAGATGCAGCACCTCACCCAGTGATCATCTTTCACAGGTTAACTTAGAGTAAATGTCAATGGGGTGCTCAAATATGGAAGTATATCAGTCCTGAACAATTCTGTCACAATCATTCACAAAGTTACTCACTGGCCAACAAGAAAAACTCATCCATGACTTTATTCAAAATCCCTTAAGCTGTGATCTAATAAAGAGCAAGACTATTTGAGACCTGCCTTGTGCACAGCTGCAACTTTCTGATCACTTATTGTCCTTTGTACCTTTGGGTTCCATTCACCAGCTCCCGGTCTGTGACACATTGACTACAGCAAGATGCAGTACTACTACTTCTCCTTACAGCTCTCTAGTTAAGTGGAAACATTCTAATTTTAAAAGGGTTTTTGTGGTGCAACCTTAGCACCCCCTACCACCAAGCCAGGAGACCCAAGTCCAATCCATCTGCTCCAATGGTCTAGTCTGGACAGATCGATTGGAAAAACATCTATTCTAGGCTTAAACCCACTTGAGACAGCAATAGCAAGTGGACACCAGAACCAATGTCCAACATTGTGAAGGTGTAGTGAGTGCTTTCCCCATTCACTGGGTTGAGGGAACCTATACAACCCTTCAGTAAGACCCTATTAATTAGGATGAAAAGAAAGAGAGTTGTGCCCCGAGAAACAGTGTTCATGTTGCAGCATGTCAGACTATTAAACATGCCTGCAAACCTTGCCTTACTTCATATTATTGTGTAAGTGTGATGACATGTAAACCACGTTGTGCTTCGGCAAAAATAATCTAGTATTCAAAATTATCCCAGCTATTATGCAGTGCTTTGATAGATTAAAGAATCTCAAAGTATCTCAAAAGAAAATATTTCTGAATGTCTTAAACATCTACGTTTAAAGCATATATAACATGTACAACGTCTTTCTCAGTAAGACAATCTCGTCAAGACATATATTTTGTTCCAGGGGTAGGAATGAAGAGAGAGATACAGAGAGGCCCAGCCATTAGTGGCATCATTTATTATAATCAGGATCTATTTCAAATGTTAGTGCTTGT